TTGCAGACGCACTTGCCGTTCGAGCACGCGCCGTTTTGCAGTCGCCCTTGGTCACGCACGCGAAGCCGCCCGCCGTGACGTTCTCGGCGCGGTTGCAAAGGAGCTTCTGCGTCGGGATGCCCGACGCCGCGGCCGGCACCGGCACGTCGCACGTGCCGCCCTTGTCGTTGCAGACCATGCCTTCGCGCGTCACGGTCGTCCACGTGTCGGTCGAGATGACCTTGATCTTGTCGCACGTCGGCTGGATCCAGCCGGACGCGGCGCGCGCGTTGCTGGCGTCGACGCTGGTCGCAAGCGGCGGGACCCAAGCGCACTTGTCGTCCGTCTTCCACGCCGCCTTGGTAAAGCCCGCGGTCGGATTTTTCTTGAACTGAGAGAGGAGGTTCGCATACGACGGCGTCGCGGTCGTGCCGGGCTTGCCCGAGATGGCCATGTCGCCGCCCGTGAAGAGCGGAAAGTTGGAGCCCTTGGGCAGCGACGCCTCGCCAAACGAGTAGGCGTAGCCGCCCGAGTAAACATCCGTAAAGCCGTTGGACGTCTTGGAGTCGTCGAAGAGATACGGGATCATGTCAAACGTGCGCGGGTTGACGAGGTCGCAGCCGTACTCGCCGAGCGCCATGACGATCGGGACACCTTTGGCGAGGTTGAGGAGGCGCTGGTACGAGTTGCCAAAGTTGTTGCTGTTGCACCACCGGTACTCGTTGAGGAGGTAAATGTCGATACTCTGCTGCATGACACCGTCGACCATCTTGTCGCCGCAGAGAAGACCTTGGATCTTAATGACCGAGTACTCGTCCGCGGCCGGCGCGACCGCCGGCTTCTCCGTATCGTCCTTCTCGCCAGAGTACGAGCTGTCGGCGGCCGCGTAGGCGAGCGGGAGCACGCGCATGTTGCTCGACTTGGCACGCATCCAATTCTTGACGTCCGCAACGTACTGCTTGACGCACGCGGCGGGGCGCAACGACATTTGCATGACCTCGTTGGCCATGACCATGCCGAGCGTGTTGTTGTACTGCGAGAAGGCGAGCGCGATGCTCTTGCCATAGTTGAGCAGGTACGACGGGTAGCAGGACGTGGGCTGGCTGTCGGCCGCGAGGTTCTTCGTGATCGTCGAGTACATGTACGAGCCATAGTACGCGACGTTCGAGGGCGACGCTGAGACCATGACGTAGATACCCTCGGCCTCCATGTCGGTCATAAACTCCTTGTAGCTGTTCTCGGGGTTGACGTTGTAGATGCGGAGCGTGTTGAGCGTCCCGTTGAAGTCGGTGACGGCGCGCGCGATCGCGGCCTTGGAGTTGGCCGCGTAGTTCTTATCGCTCACGTCGTACTCGTATGTCATACCCCGCATGAAGAAGCGGTCGCCCGTCTCCGAGTTGTACATGTAGTTGCCGCGCACGATGATGGGCGCGAGCGCGGACGCGAGGTTCACGGCGAGCGCCGGCAGCAAGACGAGGAGCGTTGCAATGCGCATGGGCCAAGGTACTCCGACGTCGAAGTGCAAACTGAAAATGCCATTTCGTGTTGGCCTTTCTATATATTGGCTCGTGTTCTATACGAATGTAATTCGATTTTATTCCAAGTGACCAAAAAGCCATACAAACATCAAGATAGCTTTGGTTGTGCGAAATAAAATTGACCTGGCCAAGGTATACCCACGTCCAGGACGTGACTCACACACCGTATCCGTAAGATACACTTTTGCACCAATCAAGAGCGGAGGCGACGAGACGACACCTCACGGCGACGAGCGGCCGCAGCTCCCTCTGCGCCGTTGGCGCTATGTTGGCGCGTTCGGTCGACGTCGTCCAGAGATGGTGATAATGGCCTCGAGGCCGAGGCCAAGTGCAGAGCCGCCTCTTCCTGCACTTCGACTCTATAATGTGTTGCATCGCGAAAATCTGCAAGTGGGTGCGATAGTACCTCGCAGGCATAAACCTTCGAGCAATGGCGATCGTGGGCATGGACATTTGGCCGTAGGACTTCGACGGACGAAATGTGTGTGAAAATGGACCGAGAAAGCCAAGCGGAGTGTTTGAAGGTAGCCAATCGCTCGCCAGACGACCATTGAATGCAGCATATGTTGCACATTGACGTGGTGGGCAAAACGCACGGTGTATCCATTTGACTGGACTAAAGTATGCTGTCTCCCCGCCCGGCTATGGCGAGGACGGAATGGGCCGCGCTGGCGACTTGAAAATAAAAAATTGTGCCACGGCCACGGACTCACAATGTCAAGCGTCGCAACAATGTCCATGGATGTTCGTGGGCGAGATGCTGCACGGCGTAATCGTCAGTCCTGACGAGGAGGCCAGTTGCAATATTTGCAGTGGCCAGTAAAATACATCAGCGAAGGTATCGCTCGCTGGCTGAAGTACCGGTACCAGTCTGATGGCCGATCAGAATTGCTATCATAACTAACGGGTACGCTTGTGAATCCCATCTGTGGTAACCTCTCGATCTGTATTGGATAACAACTTGTGCGATCTTTGGTGCTGCGTGTGGAGTGCAACGGTATCATCCTTTTCAACGCGATGCCACATCGGTGGGACGCGGGATCGAGCTCTATACCTGACCGCCACTCACTCTCCACTCCACCCTTTGCCACCGCCACCAACCCTACCCCGCCCACACGAGCCCTAGCCCCATCCTGATTGGGGTCACGTGGTCGTGTCGCTGGCGTACATAGTACTACATGGGCGGTTGTTGTCGTTAGGACCACGATCTACTGCTATTTTTTGGTCGCGTTGAAGAGGACAGTCGAGAGGCTGGTCGTGATGGCTTTTCCGAACGACACGGTCGAGAAGCTTCTGCCTTTGCTACATGACAACATGTCCATAAACACACGTCTTATTCTACAGCACGTTGAGCAGAAGGCGGCTGTACCTTGGCGAGTGGGACGATGGCGACGTGGCCACCATGTGATTGGAAATGCGGTGCGTGAGCCACGCCGCCCACTTCTGGAACGGCAGGTCCGACGCGAGCACTTGCTGAAACCAGATCTCAAACATCTTGCGCGACGACGTGTCGAGGTAGTACTCTTCGGCGTGCATCTCGAGCACGATACCGAGCGCGGTCAGATTGAAGAAATTCTGGAGCCGGTCAAACGACGCGGCTTCAAGCATCGCCTCGTGCGACGACGTGTACACGGGCGAGAGCTGGTTGGACATGACCTGCTCAAAGACGCTGAGCTCCTTCTCGAGGCGCGCGCACTTTTGCAGCATCGACTGCATGAGATTGGCTTTGGACTCAAACTCGGTCGAGCTCGCTTCGACCTCGAGCGTCAAGTCCTACCACAAATGATGACGTTGTTGTCCTAGTACAGGAGCGAAAGCCCACGTTGATCTTTTGGTGCAGTTGACTCTCGACTTGGTCGCTACGAACACGCACAATCAGTTCTGATAGAATATATATACAGCGAGTCGCCGTTGTACCGTGCATCCAAGAGCTGCTGCAACCACTTGATCTTGGTGTTGGCAGCATGGAGCTGGTCGTTCATTTCGCGCCGGTAGTCTTGCAGCGCCTCGGCCGAGTCGCTCCCGAGCTTGGCGTGCACACGCAGCTGCTCGTGTGCTTCCCGTGTCTCGGCGCGCGCGCTCGAGAGCTGGGCGCGGAGGCGGTCGTTCTCGACAATGATCGCTGCGAGTTCTTGCTCGGTTCCTTCGAGCGTCGATAGGGTGGCTGCCAGCTGCGCGGCGACCTGGTCGTCAATGAACGAAGCCGTGATCGGCGCTGGCTCCAACGACGAAGCGGACACCGCTTCGTCCAGCTCGATATACTTTCTACATTCATTAGCATGGGCTTGGCAACTCGCGGTATTGTCGAATACGTACTGCTTCCAGCTGTCGCGTTCGCTTTGAACGGCGAGCAAGTGGCGCTGGAGCGCGCGCAGCTCGCCTTGGAGCTCATTCGCGCTCGTGTCATGCTCCACGTGCAGCCTAGGACGGGCGAACATGACGTGTTCTTACGAGTAGACAGGTGGAGCCTACCGTGAGATGGTCGCCTGGAGCTCGTCGTTCGCATGTAGCAGTTGCATGCCATACTCGGCCGCTTGATGGAGCTCCTAGTTGCGACTATATCAGCGCCATCGTTGACGTCGTGACAGCAGACCTTTTCGCTGGCCGAGAGTTGGCGCTCCAGCACGACGACGCGCGGCTGGCGCTTCGCCTCGGCGATCGTTCCGTCGTCGCTGCGCCTGCGTTAGCCGCCACGTGCACGCTTGCAGCGGACGCACCTGACGTAGAGGTCGACGTCGCATGCGATCTCACTGTCGTCGGCGTCGAGTTCAGCTTGGTTGCTTGGCATCTCACTCTCTTGCCGATGACGACGCTCGGATGATGCAAGAGACGATAGGCTCGTTATCCGGATGATTTCGGTAAGATCGGGGTGTTCTCTGAGGAACGGATCTGGCCGTGATGAAGACGCGACGACTGGCCATGGACCTTCGCCGCGCGAGGGCCCTCGCACGCTGTCGAGCGCGTCGGCGTGGCGTTGCCCATGTGTTGCCGGACCCTGATGCACCCTACGTGGCCTCGCAAGAGGGCTACAGGCAGCGCCGTGCATAAGTAGCCAGAGAACATGCTGGATGCATGCACGACGCGACCTCTGCTTTAGTGGAGTAGCAGGCCTGCAGGAGCACATATATTAGCCTCTGAGTCGCAGCCGATATAGAAGCCACCCATGATGCCAATGCTGCGAGCTTACACGTGCACTACCCACAGCTGCTCCTCGAGACCATGGTGCTCTTCCAGTGACGATTGCAAGCTTCGGACCGAAAACGACGGTCAAGCTGCTCATGTTGAAAGTCGCAAACAGTTAGCACTCGGTGCTATGCGTGCTCTCGGACGAGTCCCGGTCGTCGTCGTCGTCTCGCTTGTCGTCGGGCAACGCCGTGTCTTCGGGCTTGGCGACGGTCGAGATAACGCATGCCAGCGCCGCTTGCACAGCCTTGGCGACGGCATGCGACGGTACGACGGGCACGACTGCGGGTTTGGCGTCCTTCTCGTAGATGCTCTGGTCGCGTGTGACGAGCCAGCCGTAGACCGAGTGCCGATTGCCGCTCGTGTCAAGGGGATACCGGCGCAGGGTCACGTCGTGAAGGCCAAACGCTTTGGTGCGTGGCGGGTGCGGCAGCGGCGACTCGGTCGTGCAGAGGTCCGAGATCGTCATGTGCGGCACGATCGGGCGGTAGTTGTGCAAGATGAGCGCACGAATGTCGGCGTCGACGTCGACCGCTTCCATGGGCTTGGCCACCATTTGCCAGTCGTACTAGACACACATATAAACATATCCAGACAGCGCGAGACAATAGTATGATGTACTTGTAGGTTGGCAAGGGTCGCCGACTCGAAGACGATGTGCTTGCGCAGACTCGTCGTGAGCTGCGTACTACGCTGCTCCGAAATGGTCTAATGCAAGTCGCAAGTGCAAACTCGGAACGACCAGTTTCAACCTGGTAGTCGTTGAGGATCGACTGCGTCGACCGGTACAAGGCAATGCGGGCATCCTCAAAACCAGCATACGCGTGTCGACACTCGGAGCGGGCGGCTTCGGCGCTCTGTGCAGACACGGGCATGAGCGATGTTTTGATCATCCAAGTCGGATGATGATGGAGATATGTGGTTACCTCGACCGCGCGGGCGGCGGCGACTGCGAGACTTTCTTTCTTTTGGTGCTCGTTGGGCAGCAACCAGCTCACGAGCTTGACGCTATCGATGCTTGCGTTGCGCGATGTCGTCGTCGGTCGCCGCTTGGGGAAGAGCTCGCCAAGAAACGACGGGCTGTCTTCCAGCGCATTGTTGTTGCTGCTGCTACTCTCGCTGCCCACCTGCTCTTGGATCACGCGCGGCGCAATGCCAGCTTCAAGCGCTTGCGCGTACGTCATCGTCGCCTCCTTGAACGCCTTGTCCATCTTTGTGTGCTGCTTGCGAAAGTTCTCCTCAAGCGCCTTGGCCTGCTTGCGGACGCGGGCCATGCACGAGGTGGTCGACTGTTCCTTCTTGGCGAGGCTCTTGTAGAGCGCATCCAATGGCCGGTAGACGTCCTCGTCGAGGCTCATGGCGAGGCTCTTGTGCTGCACGCTTGCGTTGACGTACTGACTCTTGACGCTGAGCAAGGCCGCGTTGACCGTGCTCACGTACGACGCCGGGTGCAAATCAGCCATGTCTTAGTCGACCTTGAACTGGTCGGCGAGCCGCGTGAGCTCGGCGGCGTAGTGCAGCTCGAGCTGGACGCGACCCTTGAGGAGACTCAAGAGACCTTGGTGCGTCGAGAGGCCGCTGCTGCACGCCTTGCGCACTGCATCGAGGTTGAAGAGGAGGTCTGTCGCAAAGCTCAAGCCGGGTACGGTCGTCGCCACCGGGTCCATAGTATCTCGATCGCTCTTGTCCGTTTTGTAACACCTCACGTTGCTCCGATTCGATGGCGTTTCGAACGGGTACGAGGAGGCAGCGGCTCTGGGACTCTATGGTGTCGACGACTCGGCATGCCTTTCAACTATCAACAACCTTATTGCACGCCCACCGCGGAGCAGCCTTTGGTCGGGTGCCAATCAATGTGAATACCCGCGACGGGAGCCCGCCGGGCTCGTTCATAATGGTATATTTTTCTGCGTGGTTCCGTTGCTTTCCAGTTGGCCGCGACGCAGCTAGACGTGCCCGACACGTGAGGATTTTCCCATGGAGACGAAGCACTGTCGTCTTGGCCGCAGCGACAACGTCTCTAGAACATGACGCTCCCCATAAAATGATGCTTCGAATCTTGTCGTTGCGGTCGTTCGGGTAACGCATGTGTTTGGTGCACGGGATGGATCAAGCTCGCAACGCTAAACCAAATAAAAACGCTATTTTTTACGCTTGCCTCGACGCGACGGCAGCGTGGGCTTTACACAGCCCTACTGCATACGGTACTACTGTAAGCACTACTCGGATACCTCGACGGCCTCGAGGAGGCGCAGCAGGCTTATACAATCGGCTCTCGAATGCTCCTCGTTGACGGAGGAGAGCCTACAACCAAGGACTTGACCAGGGACTGAGCCAATACGCGGAGCATTTCCGGTTTCAGTCCATGCAAGTATCTACGTAACCGTCAAGTGTTATCCGGACACGCGCCAGCCGAGATTCTCGGACACATCCACGCAATCTTGGACGGCGTCCGCTTCCTGTACTGCAAGTATACGAGCCATGCCCTGCGATGGTGCACGGTCGCGTGCGTGGCAAGCCAGCGATCCTCCTCGACCTCGCTGCATCGCACACTATTTACGTTTTTGAATAGTAGCCTGAAACAGATGATGCACCCGAGTGCCACGCCGTTGTGATGCGAGCGTGGGCTCAACACCAACATCAGCGCCACCCAAGGGCATAAAACATTTGTTCGCTTGGCGCCACCCATGCCACATCACGCACGAGGATCGCCTTGTCCTTGGCACCACCGCGATTGGCATTTTTCTACTAAATTCGTGGCTCGTGCCATAAAATAGTGTACCTAAATTGTGGGACACGCGCGGCTAGGATTGTCTTGACATTTGTATGCGAGACAAGCTATTTCGCGTGGATTTTTAACACGGAGCTGCTGGATTCCTGTGGCAGAGAGGGACCTCCGCAATGACCGTACAGCAAGGACTTCAATACTACAGGGCTAAACTTGCTCGACACCACCGTCCGCGCACGGGTCACGTACATCGAACAATACAATTCCCGAGTCTCGACCTCACCTTGGCGATGGACCCCGGTAAGCTTCCAAGCCACGTTGCCTTTCACAACACATACGATATGTATTATGAGAGGTTTTGGTACGACCCCGGATGCGGTGCAATATAAAAACGTATTATAATTTTTCGTCGTGCGATCATCAACAACATTGTATACGTCATGGGATCGACGTAAAAAAACACATGTGATTTTATTCTGAGTCTCAGATCACTGGCCCATACTATGGGGATCTCATTGTATTAAAATCGTTTGAAGCGCGAATAAAACGTCGCTTGTTTTTTCAATCCAGTGCCGTGCCACGATGCTTAATGGAATAAAAATTCGCGATCATTTAATAAAATGCGGCGCGTATTTTTTTAACCGCATCCCGAAGAACCCGCACCAAGTTTTTTTACTCGGGCATTTCGAACTGGAAAAGCGGACCTGCCGCGCTCCCGTTGCGCCGACGACGACGAGCTTCCTGCCCCGTACTGCCTCCCGCCACCACGACCATGGAAGACGCGCGCCCCGTCGAGACCTCGCCGCGTGGCATCTACGTCCGGGTACGCCCCATGCGCATGCTAGGAAGACGCAGCTCATCGTGCACGTTAGTTTGATACCAAGCTTGGCACGGGCGCGTACAAGACCGTCTACAAGGGCTACGACACAGACCAAGGCATTGACGTAGCCTGGAACGCGATCGACATTGGCGCGCTCCCGCATGGCGAGAAGGCGCGGATCATCCAAGAGGTCGAGCTGCTCAAGAAGCTCGAACACAAGAACATCATCAACTTTTACGGCTCGTGGTACTCGAAGGAGAAGAACCAAGTGGTCTTCATCACGGAGATCATGACGGCCGGGACGCTCAAGTCGTACATCAAGCGCGTCCGGTTTGTCAAATGGAAGATCATGAAGCGATGGTGTCACCAGATACTAGAAGGCCTCTCGTATCTGCATAGCCAGTCGCCCCCGGTGATCCACCGGGACCTCAAATGCGACAACATCTTCATCAATGGCAACACGGGCGACTTGCGCATCGGCGACCTCGGCCTCTCGACGCAGATGGCGGTCGACAAGCTCCGCGCGCAGTCGGTGCTGGGCACGCCCGAGTTTATGGCGCCCGAGCTCTACGACGAAAACTACGACGAGAAGGTCGATATTTATGCGTTCGGCATGTGCGTCCTCGAAATGATCACGCAAGAAGTCCCGTACGCCGAGTGCACCAACCCCGCGCAGATCTACAAGAAGGTCATGGCCGGCGTCCGGCCGCGCGCGCTCGGCCGCATCAAGTCCCCCGCCGCACGCGACTTTATTGAGCTCTGCCTCTCGCGCGGCAATGGCGCGGTCGACGTGACGGCGGCGTACCTCGCTGCCCACCCGTTTCTGCAGCCCATGGCCGACGACGACGCCGTGCCCGAATGTACATGCATGCAAACTCGTTGATAAATGGAATCTCATGCGAGGGTGTAGGCGTCGACGAGCAGGACGCCTTGTCACCGCGCCACGCGGCGTACACGGTCGTTGACGACTGGGATCTCGACGGCGCAAAGGCCAACGCGAAGCGCCGCCTCTCGTGCCCGGTGCTGCCGCAAAAGACGTCTGGTGAGGACCACGATGAGTCGAAGCACCCGTCGCTCGTGTTCAAGTACCGCACGACCATCGACACGCCGCTCTCGTCCGGCGTGGATGCGATGGACGACCACGCCGAGACCATTCTCAAGGGCATGCAAGGCGCCGAGAAGAATTTGGATGCACGCAAGCAGGTCATGGACGGCCGCAACAACCTCCTCCCGAACGAGAAGAAGCTGCAGCCGCTGCCGGAGCGGCCGCCTCTCTCGGTGCCCCTTCCGTCGCCCGAGACGGCACCGCCAGCGCCATCGTCGGCGCCGACACCGCTCGTGCTCGGCCAGTCGCCGCCACCGCCGCAGACCTTTCTCGGGCTGCGTGGGTCGTCCGGTGACTTTGGGTCGTGGCCAACGACGTCGTCGTCGTCGTTGGCGGCGAGTCCGAGCAAGTCGCCGTCGATGCGCAAGCGTGGCCGGCGGCACGAGATCAAGGCGACCAAGGACCTCGAGAACGACCACAGCATCTGCCTCAGCTTGCGCATCATCCTCGACGGCAAGTCGAAGGAGATCAAGTTTACGTTCAACCTCTTTATCGACTCGGCCTTCGAGGTCGCTTGCGAGCTCGCTGCCGGCGTCGGCATTCTCGAGCCAGACATTGGCGACATTGCCGACTCGATCAACTTTTTGTCGACCGAAGCCAAAATGGCCAACCTCCCCGAAGTCGACGTGGACGTGTGGGAAGAAGCACCCGAGCCCCACTCGTTCTCGGCCAAGCCGCTGCCGCATGTCTCCAAGATGAACCTCGTCGCGCACTCGACCGAGTACGTGCTGGTCGAGAATGGCTCGTCCTTTGTGTCGATGACGTCGTCGTCGGCGTCGTCGTCGCAAAATCCCGTGTCGCTCTCGGGCGACCAAGCGCTCAACGTCGAAGACTGGACGCGGGCCGAGACAGAAACCAACTATGAGCACGCGATCCGCGCCGAACAAGAAAAGCATGAGAAGGAACTCGAGCTCTTCCGGAAGAAGATGGACGACCTCAAGATGAAGGAGCTCGCCCAGCAGCAAAAGCTCAAGCGAGACCCGTAGCCGTCGATAGGATCATGTTAGAGAAGACACGTAATCATGTGGTGGTGTGTACTTGCAGGAGGACCCGCGTTATTACCAAGACCGCTGGTTCGGGTTGTTTGTCGGCGGCCGCATCATGGGATTCCCGCCGTTCGGGGGCTGCTGCATGCCTTGCCATTGGAGGTTGTTGAAGCCGTTGTTGCCCATGGGCGGGCCTTGCGCCGGCCGCGGCCCGCCGCCCATCATCGGGTTCATGTTCATGTTGCTGATGTTCATGCTGCTGTTCATGGGCGCTCGGGGCGGGCCCATGGGGAAGCCACCCGCGCCGCCCGGCGGCATGTACGGCGCGTTCTGGAATCCTTGTTGGGCGCCGTGCGGCGTCGGTGGCCGCATCGGCGGCGCGGCGCCGCCCGCAAAGAGGTTGAACGGATCGACAGGCGCCTTGGGCTACGTCCGTGCCATAAGCATCGTAACACGCAGCTGCACGTCGAGCGTACTACCTGGTTGACGGGGCTCATGACGCGCGGCGATGCTGTCGGCGTCGACATGAGCCCGACAAGGTCATCGTTAAAGACCTTGGCATTGGCATCCTTGGCTAGCATGCCATCATGTCGTGAGGTCTGTATACGACGCGACGTACCGGCTGACGGCGTCGAGGTCTCAATGAGGTCGGGTACTGCTGGTGGGGCCTCCACCTTGGGCGGGGAAGGCACGGCAGCGGCCTTGACGGGCGCTGGCGCCGGCGCCGCTGCCTCGGCCTTGTCCACGACGCGGGCCACCTTGGAGATGACGACGCCATTGTACTCGGGCACCGGGTCGTTGTCGGCAATGTCGAGCCACACTACGCGACGTATAGCACCTTGGCGTACTAAGTCGGCGAAGCGTACCATACGTGCCCTCGAACGCTTGCTTGAAGCGAAAGTGGAAGCTGCCCGGCAGTGGGAAGGCCTAGTCCATGTGGCTCGTCATCGCCGCGATGGCCTCATGCGCTGTACCTTCTTGATGTGCGCGAGCTTGAGGCCGGCCTTGAGCGGGAGCGGGAAGACGTTGAGGTGGTCGGGCGAATCGCCGTCGTCCGGGATGTAGTAGTTGAACATGCCCTCCATCTTGAGCTTCGTCGCCACAGAAATGGATCTGCGAAACCCACGCCGGCTATCGTCACTTGGTTGCAGTATGGATTTTTATTCCCAAGGAATTATAATGTTGACCTTCCTCGCCGCCGACGCTTCCAGCGACAAGCCTTCGTCGAGCCTGCCCTTGCAGCTTGGCACCAGGGCGCGCAGCCACGACGCTGCGACCTTCGACTGGCCACGCTACAACTGGCAGCGCAGCAATGCAGACGCATCGGATGAGCGAAGATATGGCTGCGACTGCATCTCTCGAACACGCATCCCTGCGCCCGCGGTAGAAACACCCAACGCACGTCGCTCTAGAAGCCGCTGCATGTAGCGCCCAAGACGCGACAGCGGATCACTCGTCGGGCGCTGGACGCGACTGAGCGCACTGCCGCTCGATTGCGGATTACCTGTGTAGATACGTGTGGCCGATGCTTCGCCGGGCATGGCGGTCGCTGGCCCGTGCTCCATGCCCTTGGCTGCATCGCGATGGCCTCGGCCTCGACCATGCGCTGGTGGAGGTCCTACGCCGTGTCGCCAGCAGCGCTTGCCTGATCCGACGTGCCGGGTCGTCGCGGAGTAATAAAATAATAAAAAGAAGCCGTCGAAATTCCGGATACAATCCGACTAATACCCGGTGGCATTTCCATTTTACAAGACCCATATCATGGCGGCGCTGGTCCCGCTTGTGACCGACGACGGCCATGGGTGCTGGCAGATGCATGAGGACGCGACGCTCCTCCTCGAGAGCGACAAGCGTGCGTTGCAGAAGATCTCGGTCGTCGGCGTCATTGATGCCCTCCCGCCCAAGCATGCCAGAGCGCACGGCTTGCACATGGTCAAGGACCCGATCAAGGTCGAAGACGACGGGACGCTCACGTTCCTCGTCGTGCTCCAGCACCCGATGCTCCACGAGCAGCCGGCGTGGGCCTCGCTTCTCTTCCTTCTCTCGTCGCACGTGCTGTACGTTCGTGACGGCGCCATTGCGCGCGACGGCTTTGCCAACTTGAGCTTCGTCCAGCACCTCCTGAATGTCGACGTCGTCTCGTCCGACGAGCAGGCCGCGCATCCAGACCTCAACACGACCGTGCTCAAGCGTCTTTTGCCAAAGCTCACGTTCATCGCGGTCGACCTCGAGAAGAAGGAGTGTGGCGGCGACGCGTTCCCTCTCTACCTCGAGAAGGCGCTTGCGACCCCGAAGGCGTCGCACGATGGCCTCTCGCAGGCGCTCATCACGCAGCTCTTTACGAGCCGCGACTGCGTCGGCATCAAGGCCAACACGTTCAAGGTGCCCGGTGCGCCGCACTCGGCGGCCAAGGTCCTCAGCGTCGCGACCGACCCGCTCCCGCCCAAGACGTTCTTTGGCCGGTTCCTCTCCTGCGGCGTCTTTGTGCATCTGCTGAGCGCGCTCGTCGCGGCCAAGGACGCGGAGCGCTGGGACTTTCGGGCCGTCGCGTTCGCCGTCTCGCGCGCGTACTGGCAAAACCTGCTGGATGCAGCGATCACCATGTATGCGGACCACATGCACGCCAAGCTGCTGCCGTACGACGACGTCGAGCTCGACAACGGCATGGTGGTGGCGCTCACCGAGGCCAAGCTCCATGGCGGCGACGCCGGCCTCGACAACGACGACGTGATCCTCATCGACCGCAGCAACAACTGTGTCACGTTTGACGAGTATGGCAACCTCAAGAAGAGCCACTCGAGTGGCGCCAAGCCGACGCTCGACGTCGGGATCCTCACGTTTCTCAAAACGTCCAAGGCGCTCAACCGGCAAATGACGATGGTCGCGCCCAAGCCCACGGTCGCCAACCCGTGGTGCGACCCGTACTTGGTCAACATGCGTGAGTACGAAGTCCCGACCAAGTACATTCACCAATTTCCGAAGCGTGAGAAGCTCCCGCTCGAAGCGAGCGCGCTCTCAAGCGTGCACTACGCGTGTCTCGCGGCCGCCTCGTCCCTTCTGCATCCGTTCATGGCGCTCTCGGTGGCCCGTGAAGATGCGTGCTTTCGCGGCGAATGGAGCTTCCGCGTCGGTCGGAGCCACCTCGACGACGCCGCGGGACGCGTCTGGCGGGACATATCGCTCGCCAACACTGCGAGCTCGGCGGCGTTCTGCACGCGCCTCATCCAGTGTCTCCACACGGCCGTTTTGCACAAGACACTGGCCGACGAGGACAAGAGCCGGCTCGTGCGCCACCTGATTGCCTACCGCAGCAACATTGAGGCGCTCATCTCGCAGTACAACTTTGTCGCGAAGGGCCCGGCCGCCTCGGCGGTCCTCGCAGGCTTTCTCTCGTCGGTCGTCCGACACCGCCTCTATGCGGCCGTCGCGGCGTCCGAAGCCCATTTTGAAGCGGCGCGCGCGCAGCTGACGACCCAGGTCCACGACGCGACCTCGCATCTCCTGGCCCTCGAAGACGCGATCCGCGACGCCGAAGAGACGCGCAAGACGTGTCTGCGCAACGAGATGGCCCAAGATGCGCTTGTCGAAGCGCGCAAGCTCGAGCAGCTCGGGACGATCCAGGGCGCGATCGCCGAGACCCAAGCGCAGATCAACGCGGCGCTCCGAGAGAAGGAAGCGCTCTTCGCCAACACGGTGCAGACGACGCAGGCGACGGTCGCGACGGTCGAGATCATTGCGAAGAAGCCGAAGGAGTACGCGGGCTACCTCTTTCGACAGGAGGGCGGCGGCCTCTTTGGCGCCAAGTGGAAGCAGTCGTTTTTTGTGCTCAAAGACGGCCGGTTCCTCACCTTCAAGGCCAAGAGCTACTACGAGGAAGGCCGCGAGAGCATGGAAGCGCCGCTCAACGTCGCAGGGTACACGGTGCTGCAGTCGAGCAAGAATGCCAACGAGTTCAAGCTCGCGCCGCCCGTCGCCGGCCGCACGTTTGTGTTTCGCGCGCCCACGGACGAGATGCGCGAGACATGGGTCCACAAGTTCAACGAAGCGTCCAACTACTCCTAGTCAAGATTACATCATCTTTACTCGTCGTCCCAGTCGCTGGCCGCGGTCGCCGCGCCAAAGGTGACCTACCCATCGCCGTGTGTTGTTGTTAAGACGACTTGAGGATCGTATACCTCCTTGTTGTACACGTAGCCGGGGTCGCCGGGCTTGCACAAGTGCTCGTGGAACACCGTGTCCATCTTGGCCTTGACGGCCGCGAGCTGCGACTCGGAGACCTTGTTGTAGTCGGCAGCGGGCAGCGCATTACGCGTCTCGACCTTGGTCGGCGAGACGAGACGCTCGAGGAGCCGTCGGAGCTGCGCCGGCGCAACCTGTGCAAAGTACGCGCGATGCTCGTCCGTGATCGCCAAAGCAATCTGCCCCGCGTCCTACGCCAATGCTGCCGACACGACAGTAATAGCTATCGGAGGGCGTACGCTGCTGCGTGCGAGGTAGCTTGCCAGAGGCACTTCGTGGTGGTAGAGGGCGCCGTCGCCCGCTGTGTACTCGAGCGTCAGCAGCGGCGGCGAGACGCGGAGGCCGACCCGGCGAGGCTCCATACAACGCGATGAGGATCCAATGGAAAGAAACGGCTAGTACGTCGTAAGATTTCACGAGCGTGAATTGCGAGGTGTCGGCTCGTCGTACGCGGCTTGGTCGAGGTGCAAAGGATCTCTGTGCAGCAGCGAGGACGCCATGCCGTCTCGTCTGCTCGACGTGGCCTGTACGATGGACCCAGACGACGACGGGGCTTGGACGTGCAAGGGCCCGTTCGTCGCGGCAATGAGCCGCGCTATGGATGCAGAGGCGCTGCCATCTTCCGGCTCTCGAGCGCTGCGCCACCATGCAGAGCATGGCACCGGCCTCGTGGGTCGACGTGCTGGATCGGCTGTTGCTGTGATGCCATTGGTGCAACGGAATTCAATGAATCACCAGATTTGACTTGGTGTTTGTATGGCAAGCGACAGCGTTGGATTAAAATAGAACCACAGATTGGTGTGCAGGATGCTGCTCGGGAAGCTGCGGCCGGCGCTGCGGACGATGGTCACGACGACCAAGAAGCGGCTCCAGCGGTCGGAGCCCCATCTGCGCGTGCGCCTCGTGCCCATGTTTGACGACAACTACGGCTACCTTGTCATTGATGAGGCCAACCAGCATGTCCTGGCCGTGGACCCTGCCCAAGCCGACGTCATGGCACCCGTTCTTGCCGAGGAGCTCGCCATCAACAACCGCGAGATGCTTGCCGTACTCACGACGCATGGCCACCCGTACGCTTTCCGCTGCTGTTCCTGGCGGTACCCACGGTATCTGCCTGCATAGGGACCACTGCGGCGGCAACGAGACCTTTGCCGCCAAGTACCCCGGGATTACGATCACAGGCCCGCACAACGAGGCAATTCCAGCCATGACGACGCCGTTGAAGGGTGGCGAAGAGTTTAAGCTCGGTGCCATGGACATCCAGGCGCTCGCGGTGCCATGCCACACGAAGGGCCATCTCGCGTACGTCGTTTCCGGCGACCCCGAGACGCCGCCGCTGCTGTTTCCCGGCGACACGCTCTTCGTGGGCGGCTGCGGTACGACGCCATGCAAGCTCACAACGATGATGATCATCATTATATCATTAGGCAAGTTTTTCGAGGGCACGGCCGAGGACATGTACCACGCCTTGTACGAGGTGATCCTGCAATTGCCAAAGGAAACCAAGGTCTACTGCGGGCACGAGTACACCATGTCCAACTTGCGCTTCGCGCTGAGCGTCGACCCGACCAACGCCGTGTTGCGGGAAAAGATTGCGTGGGCCAAGCTCCGCCGCTCCAAGAACCTGCCCACGATCCCGTCCACGCTGCGGGAAGAGATGCTCTTCAACCCGTTCTTGCGCGTGCACGACGAAGTCATTCGCAACGCCGTCGGCGGCAACGACCCGATCACTGTGCTCTCCAACCTTCGCCGCAAGAAGGATAGCTTCATTTAGCACCGCTGGTCGAGCTCCGCCGTGTAACAACCACCCAAGCAAAGCCAATATGACGAGAAAGATGACCAAGGACTCCGACGATTTCATCATGTTCAGAGCATTATGGCGTGTTGGTACCATACATACATACGACAACGACCTAGGGCGTCGCGGACGTCGGCGCCTTGGGCTCCGCGTCCTTGGCTTCCGCCGTCTCGGCCTCCTTGGCTTCGAGCTTCTTCTTGGCCGCGTGCTTGGCGTGGGCCTTGTGGAACGGAGTCTCGGCCCAGAGGGCTTCAAAGCCCGCCTTGTCGATGCCGTCCGAGAGCAGCGTCACGTGCTCGCCCTTGTCCGCCTTGTCCTGCTTGGACCACTTGGTGATGAGGCGCTTGCCGTCGACGTCGCGCTCGTGCACCGCCTTGAGACGGCCGTCCGAGTCCTCGTAGCGGCGGCGGATGCTCGACACGCGTCGACCCTTGTCGTCAATCACCGACGCGCTCGAAAACGAATAGTTGGAGCACGCGCGCGTGTGTAGCGCCTCCGTGTCGCCGGCCAGGATCACGGCGGCCGGGTCGGCGCCGCTCGGCAAGTCGGCGAAGAACGCGTCGTCGCTCGGCGGCATCGAGAGCAAGTTGGAACCGCGCGGCGGGAACATGGCGTTCGCGACCTCGGCCAGCTCGGCCAGCTCCAAGTCCATGAGCGACTGCTCGAGGTTCATGTGCGGGTACCAGTGGCGCGGGCGGACAATGTCCCATGGCGCGAGCGTCGGCAAGGGCGCCGCGGGGAAGTAGAGGTAGTGGGTCATGCTGGAGTGCTTGCGTGGGTTGGAGGCAATTGCGTTGTGAGCGTCGCAGCGCCAAGCTCGTCGTCGGTAGCGGAAGCTTCGAGATCGGACCGTTGCTGGCTTGGATCGGTGTCGCCGGGTTTGATTGGTTGAATTCCCACCAATCCGCGACTGCGATCCTAGCAAGTAGCCAATCCCCGTCCGCCGAGCGAATCCTTGCCGTGCACCGTTAAATCCATCCAATCCCAATACATGGCAGCGTCTCTGGCACGCTATGCGTTCGAAGGCTCTCGACGCGGGCCGGGAAAGGGATCGTCTTGCCCGAGAGCCCGCGTTGGGAACGATTCATTCGCTGGCTGAAACGCACCTCGTCGCTCGTGTGACCAAGGTTTTGACGGGCTGGACGGCGTGGCGGTGGCAGCAGGCTTGGCCAACGTCCATAAAGAGCGTTGATGACATTATCGGCAGCAGCAGCAGCAAGCACATAGAGAACCGAGTCGTCCCTGGCTGTCTGCACCGAGTCGTACCTGGCTTTCCGCACTGTCGGCCACGGGAGAATCGAGTCGCCGAGGTTTGGACGTCGGCACTCGGCATGGTGAGTGCCCACGCCGGCTGCATGCGACGGCGAAGCAACCCGTGTCACATCCTACCCACTCGACGCTTCCCTTCGCTTCAACACAATAAGATGGAGACATGGCGCGAATTACAATCCTGGGTTTGGAGTTCGTTGTGTAGTTGGCGTCGGAAAGAAAGTCCTCACTGTCAAACGCGCTTCGTGGCATACAAAAGTGGTGTATTCGGCTTCATAAACCCACATCGTCGTCCGGCTCTAGTCCGAGTCGTCAATCTCAATCACGTCCGCGCGACCCTTTGGACGTCCGCGCGAGCGCCGGTCCTCGGGCGCCTCTTGCAACGCTACTTCGCGCTTGACCTCGATCTTCTTGTCGATGCCCTTCTTCTGGCGCGCAAACGCAGCTTGGATCGTCGACTGCGCACCTGGCGACTTGGCAGGCGGCGCCTCGACGGGCGACGTCATTGGCCGCGCAACGTCGACCTGTGGTGTCTTGGGCGTCGTCACGGGCTGGACCACGGCAGGCTTGACGATGATATTGTCGGGCGACGCGGCTGGCCCGCGCACCGACCCGTCGGGAATCACGACGGGCGGCGGACGACGCCCCATGATGGGCTTGCGGCCGCTCGCCGTCGGCCGCTGCTCGGTCAGCCGCGCTTGCTCCGCTTGGACGCGGGACCACACTTCGCTCTCGACGCGCTGGGCCTCCCGCTGAACGGCCTGGAGACGCATAGTTTCGCTCTGCACGCGCATCGCGACTTCCATTTCAATCCGCTTGGCCTCGCGCTGGGCGGCCTCGAGGCGCATCGTCTCGGCCTGCACACGCGCGCGCACTTCGGCCTCGAGTCGCTGGGCCTCGCGCTGCGTCGTCTCGAGGCGCTGCTTCTCGAGGGCGACGCGCGCCGCGACCGCGAGCTCGAGGTCGACGCCACTCGTCTCGGACCGCGCGGCTTCGTGTTTCTGGAGCACGAAAAACGTGTACGCGTCGGCGTTGTGGTGCGGGTCGTGGGCCATCATCTGGCGGGCCTCGTGCGCTGCCCGCTGGCGGTCGCCGTCATGGAGCTTCTTCATCTGCGTGATCGCGCGCACGGCCTTGGCGCAGTGCAGCACGGTGGTCTCGACCCACCTCGCCGACGGCACCTGCGCGCCCGGCGGCATGCACGTGCGGAAGCGGTCGAGTGCCCAAATGTCCTTGACGTGGTCGTCCAGACCAAAGCACTCGACGCCCTAGTACCATCTCATCAGTGATCCAAACGACGACGAGGTCGGCGGTTCGAACCTGCATGAGCAAAATGTCGTGGTCCGGCGACACCCACCACGACGGCAAGTGGCCCTTGTTGTACGACGCCGCGCGCGTCACACTCATCATGGCCAAGTGCAGATCCTGTGGCCGCATCACGAGCACGTCGGTGCGCAGGAGTCGGAAAAATTCGATGCGGTTCACGAGCACTTGCGCTTGGTCGCGCGAGAGCACCCACTGGTCTTGCGTGCCGCCAAGGATCGACGGCTCGGTCGACGGCGCAAAGTGCGGCTGCCCCAGCACCGATCGCGCCGCGCGCTCGAGCCCGACGGCTTCGTGGAGGAGCTCGGTCGGACCACGCGATCGGACGCTCATCATCGGGTCGTTGATGTAGAAGCGCCACTTTTCCCGCTGCTCTTGGGCAGTGGCGCACGTCCGCACGTCCGGGACGCCGTACTCGAGGATGAGCGTCATAAAGCGTTCTTGGCGGTCGAGGAGCCCGAGAAACTGCATCTGGTCCGCGACGTTCATCGGGAGCACAAATGGCACCACGGCCTCGGTCGCCTTGAACGGCGGCACGCGCGCCTCTTGGCCCCACGCCCGCAGGAGCGTCTTCGCCCGCTTCAAGAGCAACGTCGTCGACGGCCACACCGCGTCCGGCGCGGCGCCGGGGTGGAGACTTGGCGGGTACAACAGCGCATCCGACTTGAGCGTCGCGATCGAGTTTTTGCCGCGAAGCCACCCGACGCGGTGGAGCCCGAGGAGCAAGCGGAGGTCATCGGTTTGCGGCTGCCACCAATTCGGCGCGTCCTTGTGCACACCTGATGCTGGCAGCGTCCGAATGACGTTGAGGAGACGAAGGCGCACGAGGACGGTCTCGGGCGGTGTCTCCGCGGGCAGCGGCGACGTGTTGGCGGTCTGAATGTCGTTGAGGATCGAGACAAACTCGAGGATCGGCGAGAACTTGCGCGTCACGAGCTGGTCGAGGTGGTGCAGCACATCGAGCTGCTGCAGCTTGGACACGGCGTGCTTGCACGTCGCATCAAAGCTCAAGACGGACGAGAGATCCGACGGAATCGGGATCGCGCTGATGTCGTAGAGGGGCACCGGCACCACGTGCTTGTCGTGCGGGTGCGCTTTCCGATGCAAGTCGCGGAGAATCGCAACCACAAACGAGTAGCGCTGCGCGTACGTCTGGAGATCACTGCTCTCGGCCGCCGTGCGCACGAGCTGCGCCACGTACGCTAAGGCAAAGCACTTGATCTTCTCGACCGAGAGCGTCTGCAGCGTCGGGCTTGCCATGCGAATCTTGGTCCAGCGGCCATAGCCGAACGCGAGCAGCGCCGCCTGGCCATTCATACGACATGAGACAAAAAATACATGCAGCAAACGAGGGTACCGCAAACGGTTGCGTCTTGGGCGTTGTGCGCAGCGCGTTGGGGTTCTGGAGAAGGCCCTTGATCGGCCCAATCGGCGCGTCATCGTCTTCGTCCTCGTCGTCCTCGGAGCTGGGCGCGGCGTCTTCAATGACAAACGCTGCGTCGTCGTCGTTTTCCTTTTCATTGGCCATCTTGAGCTTCTTCCCTGGCCGACGGACCTTCTTGGAGCTGCCGGGCACTTCGCCGTCTGAGTTTTCTTCGGCGTACGTGGCGAACCGGCCCTTGCAACGGCGCTTCTCCGGCGTCTTGTCGACGACCGTCTTTTCCTCGACCGCGTTGAGGCCAATGACCTTGGTCCAAAAGTCCGGGTCGTCCAGCGCGACTTGTTCGTTCGGGTCGGTCGAGCTCACAAACGTGGCCTTGGAGAAGCTGGACATGGCATTCGACGCGGCTGGGTCCGGCTTGGTCTTGGGGTCGTGGACGACGGTCGTCGACCGCTTTAAAATGTCGTCGACCGACTCTTCGCTGAAGCGCTTGCTGGCCTCGGCGCCGTCGTCCTTGAGCATCTCGTACGCGCCGAATTTGAGCAGATTTTCGACGTCTTCTTTGGACGCGGCCGGGAGCTCCTTGCCTTTGGCTTGGCGAATGCCGCCCAGAACGGCTTGGTCCAGCCCGAGTTTCATGGACGCTTGGTGGAACATGTGCGCTTCGTACGTCTTGGCCGTCAAGAGGCGATAGATCTTGACCGACTTGGTCTGCCCGATGCGGTGGCAGCGCGCTTGTGCCTGCAGATCGTTCTGCGGGTTCCAGTCCGAGTCGTAAATGATGCACGTGTCGGCGGCCGTGAGGTTGATGCCAACGCCGCCCGCGCGCGTCGAGAGCAGCATAATGAACGCCGGACTTTCCGGGTTGCAGAAGCGATCGATGGCCGCTTGCCGGTCGTTGCCTGTGATGCTGCCGTCAATGCGCTCTTTGACGTACCCTCGGAGCCGGAGATAGTCTTCGAGGATGTCGAGCATGATCTTGAACTGCGAAAAGATGAGCACGCGATGGCCTTGCTCCTTGAGGCGCGGGAGAAGCTTGTCGAGCAAAATGAGCTTGCCGCACGATTGCACGAGCAGCTCCTGGAGCTCCAACGGCGTCACATGGGGCGTCTCTTTCTGGACGCGTGCGACTTCGCGGGCTTCGGCGCCGAGGATCAAGAACGGGTGGTTGCAGCACTTGCGGAGCTCCATGACGATGTTCATCAAGCTCGGCATATTCGCCTTCTTTGTATGGCCTCGCTAACGATCCATGGTGTGAGTCATCAAAACTATCAACTTGATACAACGGACCACGAGAAACTCGGTGTTGCGCTCGAAAATCGCGCGGTAGTACTGCTTTTGCAAGACCGTGAGCTCGACTTCGATGATGGTCTCTTCCTTGGGCGCCAGCGACGTCTCGACGTCCTCCTTCATGCGCCGGAGCAAGAACGGCCGGAGCTCGACCTGCAGCTTCTTGACCTGGTCCGAGTCGACGAGGTTGCCGTATGCGTCGACAAACTCTTCGGACGACGCAAACTTCTTGCGGTCTAAAAAGTGCAGCAACGTCCAGAGCTCTTCGACGTTGTTCTGGAGCGGCGTGCCCGTGAGGAGGAGAAGATTGCCAAACTTGAAGTTGGCCAAGAGAATACTCGCGAGCTTCGACTTGCGGTTTTTCAGGCGGTGGGCCTCGTCGACCGCGACGACCTGCCACGGGATGCGCGCCAGCGTGATGTTGTCCGAGGCCACGCACATCTCGTACGTGGTGATGAGCACGTCAAAGCGGTAATGGGTCGTCTTCTTGTCGCGGACCGGGGCGCCGGGCGCGTCGTCGTGCGGGTGGGGGAGGTAAAACTCATACTGCTCGATCGTCTTGCGCTCGTCGTGCGACCCGTGGTACACGACTGCGTTGAGGTCCGTCCAGTTGGTAAACTACAACCAGACATGTCTCATTGTATCAAGAACGTACTATCAAGAACGTACCTCGCGCTGCCAGTGGGCGAGTGTCGAGAGCGGCGCAATGATGAGGTACGGCCCGCGGCGCTGCTCGACCTGGACGAGGTGGTTGATGTACGAGACGGTTTGCACGGTCTTGCCAAGGCCCATTTCGTCCGCGAGAAGCGAGTTGCGGTCGTTGTACCAGTTGAAGAGGAGCCAGTTGAGACCGGCGACTTGGTACTCGCGCAGGTTCATGCCGCCCTTGAAGGTCGCGGGGATCTTGTCACCGTACGGACGGAAGCTCGAGGCCTTTCGGACCTTGGGCGACCGAAGCAGCGGCCGGTTGAAAGCGTGGTAGAGCGCGACCGCGTGGTCGTCGTGAAAGTCCTCGGCCTGCTCCCACGTGCAGCTCTCGTACCCGAGCGCCTTCCACTTGACAAAGTACTCGAGCGCGCCGGGTGCGTCGACGTCTTGGCTCGGCTGGATCGCGAGCACGCGGTCGACGGTGCAAAATTCGGGGTTGAAGTACTCGTCGCCAGCGACAAGTGGCGCCCGCGCCTGCTTTTCAAGGAAGCGCTGTACCTTGCCTTTTGCGTTCTTCTCGTACTCGACGAGCTCCTTCTCGGTCTGCCAGCACACGTGCAGGTACGAGAGGTCCTTCCACTTGACGAGGAATTTCTCGACCTCGTCCGTCGGCGGCAGCACCGGGTCGTCGTCGTCCGGCACAAAGATGGACCCGGCCGTGATGTAGTGCGAGTGCATGCCGTGGCACTTCTTCGCCCACTCGGCCACGGTGTGCGTCTCGACGGCCAGCACCTTGTCAATGATAAAGTTGTCGTCGCTCGAGGTGGTGTCGGCCGCGCGTGGCGACGACTTGCCTTCGGTCGAGCTCGCGTCCGACACGTCCGACTCCGAGTCCAATGCTTCGGACGCTGACGCTGACTCGGACGAGCTCTCCTTGGCCTTGGTCTTGCTCTTGGTCTTGCCCTTGGCACGCGATACGACGACCTTGGGCGACGAGGCAGGCGGCGGCGAGCTTCGCGGACGGCCGCGCTTGGCCGGCTGCGCCTTCTCAGGTGCATTTTTGCGCTTCGCGGGCTCGCGCGGCTTTGGCTTCGAGGTAATCGTCGTACGTGACGACCGCGCGGGCGCGCTCGCTGCGCCGGTGGAGGACCTGGCGGCTGGGCTTGCTCTCGACGGTCGGCTTCAGTCGCTTTCGCGGCTGCGGAGCCGCGATGACCTCATCTTCGCTCGAGTCGAGGTCGACAATCTGGTTTCGCCGGCGCGTCCGGCGGTTCGTCTCTTCCGCCATCGACGGGTGGCTGCGTACCGGTGCTGCGAACGCTCTGAAATCCGCAAACCAAAATGCACTCTTCCGCATCCGGATGACATCCGGATAATTGAACTTGGCGCGCAGGCCACCCCAACTAATTTTGAAATTGCGAGAAACCATGTCCAACGGGCAGTGGGTTGTTTCGCACAAAAGAGAACGTCATGCCAAACTGCTTACCTCACGCGGAAGTCACGACAGGAAATGCGGCCTCGTCGCACCCGGCGTCGCTGGCTGATGAAATCGGTGAATGCGAAAGAGCTCACCCCACCTTTCTACAGGTTCAATTACCGGATTCTATGGCCTTATGAAATACTGTGTTGTCTAATTCTTGACTAACGTTTTATCTCCACCATTTGCCTCTGCGTTGAAATCAAATTAGTAAAACCAAAGACGTCGCACGACTCTTCAATAATACCTCGTGGGAGTTGACACGGGCACTCGGTGGTCGTAGGGAGTGCAGCTGCGCACGGAAAGATGATGTGTCCTTCTCTCTGTAAATACAAAAATTCTCCGGAAATACGAACGACAACTTCAGAATTCGCGCTATCCTCAGACTCATTAGTGCACGCTAAGTTGCCCATTTTCGTGGGTGTCGGGATCCACGTGGAATGCACTCCAGTAGTTCCTTCTATAATAGTAGTGTGCTATTCACCGGTGAAGCACTACACTGTAGTTACAGAGCTCGAATCAATTCTTGGCGCGCTCCATTTCCCATGATATTTGTTCCAATTGCGCATCACGCAAAATGTGTCTAAACATACGCGTTCATAGAAATGGCTGGTGCCAAGGGCCGAATGACTCTTTAGCAATTTGGGTATAAAGTGTATTCGTCGACACGAGGTCTCTCCCTAGCTATAACAAAGCAAAATACTAGCTGTTTGGGTTTTAAGCTATACTAAGAGCATCCCAACGATCGTTTGTAGACGTAAATATAGCAATGTTTGAAAACTGACCTTCCCATCGTTTGTTTTATACCAAAAATTGTTAAACCTTGCCGGCCGTTTTTATCGTGGTGAATATAATAAATGGTGGCCAGCAATTTCAATTTTCTAGGCCCATGCGATGAACAATAGATGGATTCAAGGCCTGAGAGCACCATGAGACCGCAGCTCGTTGTTATGTCCAGTCAAGGACTGCCATGCCTGGAATCCAGCAGACATACAATATTGTAGCAGGAACCGTTCAGACAGCACTCGCATTTAGCATTTTAGGCCAATAATTTCGTC